TCTCTACACTATTTTCTTTTTAATTTTTTTCTATAAACTATTTGACACCAAATTTTGGACTTCAATTCCTCTATTAAATTTTCACAAGCGAAAAAATTTTAAAAAAATATTTTCAATAAAATAAAATGACCAAATACCCCTAAAAGTTTCAAAGAGTATTTTAGTCATTATATTTTATTAAAAAATTATTTTTAATATTTTTTTATAGGTGCGCCTCAATGAGAAGATAGCACGTATCAAATTTCATATTCATTCAATTTGTATAAAAAAAATTAAAAATAAAATACTTTGAGACGTCGGATCTAAGATGAAACGGTGAGTGGCTCTCTTGATCAAAATTGGATGGCTAGATGGTAGGAGGAGGATATAACTTCTATGCTGTAGGGGAAGCATAAAAACCCTTCCCTTCCTTCTCCTAGTATGTTTTTTTTAGCTTCGGGGAGAGAGAATGTGATTAATTTTGCAATACTTTTTAAGAAAATTGCAAATTCCATTTACGGATCTTTTGTCTTTATATGTGAGGACCTTATAGTGTTCTAGAAGAAATGCAAATTATATTCTAGGAATACTATAATGTCATCTCAACTATTTTGTGAAATCCCTTTTTATGAATTTTGCCTTTGGATGGATGCAAGATTTCACCGATTCTCACTTTTTAAGATGATTTCCTAACGATCGAAATGGAATGTAATGATATTAACAACTGATTTTTAGGGAAAAGTAGGTAAAGTTTGCCATTTACTCCGTAAAAGGCTTAAACATAAGGGTACATTGTCCCCTTTTGAAATCGTAGGGGCCCACTCTGGAGCCTTCTAAATCTCACCCCTCCCCCTGTTTTGGGGGCACCTCACGTGAAGTGTGAGCATTTATGATGTAAATCAAATCACTCTTTCACATTTGGGCCCGGGCTCAACATAGTGGTCCTAGCCCGAGTCTCTTGGTATCACTCGGATGAGTTTGAGCCGGTTAAGTTTTTAATAAAAACAAATAAAAAATATGCAAAAGAATTGGAGGCTTGAGCAATTATGGATCTTTTAGTCCCTAAAATCACCTATCTCATGATCCAGTCGGACATGTAGGAGACCCAAGTTCTTGGTGGCAGCACCCCTACTCCTTAGTCTAACGCAGTATCGTTTTCATTTCCACTGACACCACCCCACTAGTGCCTTAAAAAAACCAACTCCTAAACTATTTGAAAAAAAAGATAGGGGTCTGTCTTTCCCACTAAATTATCAAAAAAAAAAAACATAAAATTTGTGCTACTCTTAAAGATGGTGGTATGGGTATTAGAAGGCCTAAATTAATTTGAGTATGTTGAGTAAATGGTGGTGGCGATATCAACATAATGATAAGGCTTTGTGGTGTAAAGTTCTTAAACAAAAATATGGGGAGGATGTCTTGTAGGGATTGATTAAACGTCCGAGGAATAAAACTTTATTATCGCATAGTTGGAGGGGCATTGATTACTGTAGACCCATCTATCTTCGATACTATCTCAATATTGTGGGGAAGGGTGATCAAACCCCTATCTTTGTTTGATAAGTGACTTGGAGACTATGCCCTTAGATATTGTTTTCCTAAAGTCTCTTAGGAAGTTTGCAATCCATTGGCTTTGTTAAGGGAAGTGAAAGAGGAGGAGCTTTATGCTAATTCAGGAGAACGACAGATCCATTTATTGAGGAGTTCCAAAGACTAATGGAATTACTGCATAACTTTCACTATGCCCCAACAAAAGATGATCAAATTATATGGAACCTTACTCCTCCTAGTGGCTTCACTCTAAAATCAGTGTACAAACTCCTCTATGATGACGGATCCATTAACCTTCCTCTTAAAAGTCCAACTCTTCCTATGGATTGCTTGATGGCGAATCAACGGATCATCTCCTCCTTCATTATCCTTTTACAATGGAATTATGGAAGTGGGCCACAAAGAATGGATGTTGGCCTACAACAACGTATGACTCCCGGTATTTTTAAAATAAGAGTTATTCTTTAGAGATCTATTTGGACCAGCTTAATGTGGAGAAATTGAAATAGGAGGACGTTTCAAGTCAAATATTCTAGCAATGGCTGCTAATCGAATGTCGACTGCAAATTTATTCGCAAGGATCACAGAGCATATTAAACCCAATAGAAGTTGCCAATCTATCTTTGGGGATTTCCATTAGACATACAGTATGGCTTCCTCCACATGAGAATTGTTTGAAATTTAATTTTGATTGGAGTTCTTTTGAGAACCCTGGTCCTGTTGGCTTTGAAAGTCTTATTAAGGGCAATAGGGGGAATATTTTTACTACTCATTTAGGCGTTTGTGGAATCATTACTGTCAATGAAGCTGAAGCTAGAGAACTACCATAAGGTTTGAAGCTTATCTCTAGGATGGATGGACATAAAATTATTGTAGGTCACTCCTCCAATGTCATGGCTTGGCTTGGTGCAGAGGAAAGTCGAGACCTCCATGGAGATTAATACCCATTTTTTATGAGTTGATACTCTCCTCTTTAATCTTTCGGTTGAACTCTCTCGTTGCCATAGAGAGTCTAATTTTGAGGCAGATTTTTTTACACAAGGTGGTGGACACCGATCCTTGTTGGTGGTAACCATGTGTCTACCTAATTCTTGTTTTCTGTATTCCTTTCTTGTCTTTGTTAGAATGAAATTTATTTTAAAATAAAAAAAAAAATGTCTCCGGATACCATCTTTTTAGGTTTTATTTGTCAATAGACTCGAAGTTTCAAAACATATTTGACGGCATCAATATCTCATGTATTATATCCTTAACTCTTTAGACAAACTTTACCCCATATTTTTAGCCCAAACAAAAATTCAAAAAACATTTTTTTTGTATTCATTTCTAAATCCCTTTCTCTTTCTTCCCTTGTGTCACTCCAAACATCTCTCTATATTTTTTTAATATTAAAAAATATCTTTTGAAAAGTATCTTTTTTTTAAAGTTTAAAAAAAAAAGGAGAGAAGTTTGGAAAAAAATATGGTGGGAGAGAGAGAAGGGGTTTAGAAATGAATAGATAAAAAAATATATTTTCAACTTTTGTTTAGGTTAAAAAAAAAGGAAAATTGGTCATTGGGGTTAGAAGATATAACACATGTTATTTTTATGCCATCAAATATATTTTGAAATATTAAAGGCGAGTAGGGGAGGTAACTGCGAGTGAAGCTAAGCTTCGAGCAAGGGGATTACCCGCAAACCAATTGTAGTGGAAGGGGATTCGATGAATAATGTTAAATGGATAATGATGAAAGCTGCATATCGGTGGAAATTTCATAGTTTAATGTGTGAAGTGAGTGATTACCACATGGAATTGGAATGTAATTTTAACCATGTATATCACGAAAGCAACATAGAGGCGGATGGGCTAGCAAAGCTAGGTGTGGGTGGTAGCAATCTTATAGTCGTAAGTACTGATGTATAATTTGGGTTAGATTGGAATTTCTTTTATGTTTTTGTATTGATGGTGTGATTGTGGTCATGAAGCTTTTATGTTGATGTAATATGCAGCACTTTTATGTTTTTTTTTTAAAAAATATGTTTTGAAATCTTGAACATGTTGAGAAATGCAATCTTAAAAGATGGTGCACAAAGATTATTTTCCAAAAAAACTTTCTTATCTAAGTGTCTAAAAATTCAAATATCTTTTTCTTTTCTTTTTTTCCCTTTCAATTTCAAAATACCCATAAAGAAATATACGTTCTTGAGTTCGAATAATTGTAAATTACCAAATCATTAAAGAAAAAAGTTTATATAAGGTTGCAATTTTAAAATGCAGAATTAAAGGTGCACCTCAAAATCTATGATAAAAACTTGTTTTGATGTTGGAAAACCATTTAATGATTATCTCGATATCGGGATAGATGAATATGAAAAGAAAAAAAGATTTCGAGTCCAAGAAATAATGTATCTTGCAACACTTTATTTGAGCTGTCCATTTTCAAGACCTTCATATGGTTTATACATCTATTTGATTTGAACAAGTTTTAGAGTTTAAAATTTCATAATTAGAAATGAAAGTGGATTCTCAAGCCATTTAAGAATTTTTATACCGAAATTATATTTATGATAAAATTTAGAAGTGTGTCTTAATTGGATTGTTTAAGGTTGCAACCTTATTGAAACCACACCCATCGTTAAATAATACATGTCTTGTGATAATCTATATAAATTTCTCTTTTTCAAAAAAATTCTTAATATGCAAAAATAAAACCTCAAAAGAACAACAAAAAATGCACACTTGTTAGGTGCCTATAACGTACATCAGTGGCATTTAAGGATAAGTATTGGGCAAAATTTATTGAATGGGAAAAAGCCGAGCCGAAAAAGAGCCGACCCAGCCTTGCATCACAAGTTTAACCAAGGAGTGAGATGGAGTCCGAGTCTTTGTAAAAACTGTTAAAAGATGTAAAAAAAAACTGTTAAAAGTTAAAAGAAGATGACTTCATAGAGGAAGATGGTCTGATAAGGCTGCAGCTGTAAAAGCCTGAACATTATGGCTGTTAAAAAAAAATAGAATTTCAAGTTTTAAAAGTGGTGAATATTATAACAAATAATGTAGATCATCTATCTTACCTTAAAAATATGTATTTATAAATCGATAAGAATCTGTACCAATCTTTTTGTTTCAAATTTTATTGTTGATATTAAAATTTGATTTTAAAGCCATCATTGGGGATTTTTTTATACCAAAAATACTTTCGAAACGAAGATTTGAGATCATGCATTATTTTGTTTTCATAAAACCTAGGCCTTAAATAGAAAGTTCATCCGCCAAAGGGACGGTATTCCATACCCTTTAACGTCTCCCTCTCTCAGTTTTACTCGTACACTCTCTCTCTCTCTCTCTCTCTCTCTCTCTT